TTTATTTTATACACGTCCGTCGTGTTGAACGATTTATTAGAGAAGAAAGTATTTTACTTGGCATTGCTTTGCAATGTCTTTGCCAAAGTGACACTAATGACATTTCATACAATGTTTAATTTGCATCTCACAAGATGATGTTCTTAGTTAATGTGTTCACCAAGCTAACTCATTGAATATAAATAATCATATTTCAACATTCCCACTTAATCAATGGGTTACAATATTTAAAAAAAAAATAAACTTCGCTTTGTATTTAATTATATCAGTTCAAAAAATTGAATTTACCATTAACTACTTTAAATAATTTAAACCCATCTCAATGGTACAAAATTCGTGTTTGTTAAAAGGAACAGCCTTTGTGAGATTATCTGCTATCATTTTATCAGTTATAACTTTACAAATTTTAATCTTTTCATTACGTATGAGATCTCTAACAAAATGATGCCGAATGTCAATGTGCTTTGTCCGTGCACTGTATGCTCCGTTTTGTGCCAAGTCTATCGCTCCTTTGTTGTCGCAATAAATTTGAAAATTTGGTTTTCTTTCTCCCAAGACCTCGTACTTCAATTGATCAAACCAAATTGCTTCTTGGCACGCTGCTGTTAGTGCCATGTATTCCGATTCTGCCGTGCTCAGTGCTACTGTTCGCTGTTTCTTTGATGACCAAGATATAGCGCCTCCTTTCCATAAGAAAACGTAACCTGTGCATGATCTACGATCTTCGAAACTTGATGCCCAATCAGCATCCGAATATGCACACATTTCCCCATATTTACCATCTCTGGCAAATGTTAACTTGCAGTTCAATGTACCCTTTATATAACGTAGTATACGCTTCACTGCCTTCCAATGTGCTTGGCCAGGGTTTTGGTTAAATTGGCTCACATTGGTTACGCTGAATGAAAGGTCTGGTCGTGTACACTGTGCCAAATGTAGTATACTTCCCACTGCACCACGATACGGTATTATTTCCATTTGTCTTAGCTCATTTTCCGTGGTTGGCGACATTTTACTACTCAATTTTTGATTTGGATCGCTTGGCAATTTTACTGGGTCGCAGTCAAACATATTAAATCGCCGCAATATTTCTTCTGCATACTTTCGTTGATCCAAACTCAAAATACCTTTCTGACGATCGTATTTAATGCGTATGTTCAGAACCTCCGATGCAGTTCCCAAGTCCTTCATTTTGAAGTGTTTTGTTAGTGTTGATTTTAATTGAATTTTCCATTCATTGTTGTTATGAAAAATCAACATATCGTCAACGTATACTGCTACAATTATTATTGAATTGTCTGATCGTCGAACATAAATACATGAGTCGGTTTTACATCGTGTGAAACCAGCTTTTTTCCAAAACGTCGTTCAGTTTTAAATTCCATTGTCGACTTGCTTGCTTTAAACCATAGATCGATTTTCGTAATTTGCAAACACGTCCGCTATCATCGTCATAGCCCTCAGGTTGTTGCATGTATATTGCCTCCTTTATTTCACCATGCAAGAATGCAGTCACAACATCCATTTGGTCGATGTTTAAATTCATTTTAACTGCTATTGCCATTAACATTCGAATAGAAGAATACCTGACAACTGGTGAAAACGTTTCTTCATAGTCAATTCCAGGTCGTTGACTACAACCTTTTGCCACCAATCGGCCTTTGTAACGTACAATTTTACCATTTGAGTCTCTTTTTAATTTAAAGACCCATTTATTTCGAATTGGTTTTGCACAGTCAGGTAAATGTACCAAGTCCCATGTGCGATTTTCAATCAATGATTGGTATTCCTCGTTCATGGCCTCTTTCCAATGAATTTTATCTCGTCCATTCAGCGCCTCATCGACTGTTGATGGTTCTCCATTTAATGCTGCTTCCGCCAAACATGCCGCATCATATCGTTCAACTGGTCTATGTTGTCTCTGCGATCGACGTACTATCTGCTCTTCATTTTCGTTGATTGTTGTGTCTTCCAATCTACTATCATCACTTGCATAGTCCATTCTTGGTGGTACAAACGTATCATCCTCTACAACGTCTTCAAAATCAGTCGAACTATCAAGTGTAATTTCATTTATAACAGCATTGTCAGGGCCATGCTGTATGCCCAAATCTCCAAGTTCGACTAGATCATGCAATTCATTTGCAACATTGTCTTGGCCATGTTGCACGCCATTCGATACATTTTCAACAATTGTTGTATCGTTATCATCGACGTCACCATTTTCAATTACAGACTCATTTTCATCTGTAAAATACCTAAAATCTTGGTTATCATTATTTAAGTTCAAAATGTTGTTACCATTTTCGAAGAATGTGACATCTCTGCAAACTGTTACTTTGTTGGTCTTTGGATCCATTAAACGATATCCTTTTTGATTTTCGCTGTAGCCAACAAATAACATTTCCTTCGAATTGGCTTCAAATCCACGTCGTTTCTCCTTGGGTATCATCGCCATTGCCATCGAACCAAAAACTCTAAAATGACTGACATCCGGTTTCTTTCCAGTCCAAATTTCGATTGGTGATTTATCGTCATTCCGTGATTCCTTTATCCAATCGCTTCTCATTGTCATATGTCTTGTCGCTCCTGAATCAACAAACCAATCATTTCTATCGAATTTACCGCTCAAAAATACCGCACTGAATGCCACAGACGAACTGTTATTTTTATCAGTATTTTTGTTGGGTCTTTGCCCAAATTTATCAGCCGATTTCTTGGTTTTCTCAGGGCAATTAATTGACTTATGACCTTTTCGTCTACAAGAGTAACAAATCAATCCATTTTTACCCCGAAATGAGCCACGATTCTTTGCGAAAAGTGCCCTATCATCGTTTGTTGTACTACTTGCCGATGTTTCCTGTAACAGTTTGGTTTTAACACTGTCACTTGAAAGTTTCTTATCGGTACTTTCCATTGCCATTATCATTGGCAAATAATCATCGGTCAATCCGGCTAGTAAAAATATTGCCAGCCATTCATCTGGCACCTCAAAACCAACATCAATTAGTTTTTGAGACGTAGAAATGATTTCACTTACATAGACATCCATCGACGCACATTTTTCCAATTTTGTGTTGACTATTTTGCGCATCAATGTGACTTTTCTCACTGCGCCTTTGTCTTCAAAAGTTGTTTGTAAATTATTCCACATTTCTTTTAATGTCTTTGCTGATTTGATGTGCACAATATTTGTTTTGTCGATACTCAATGCGATTGCTGCCTTTGCCTTGGCATTCTTTTTCTCACACGTTTCATCTCCCGTTATACATTTCGATAAATCCTCTAACGCCAAGTAATTTTCCATTGAAAATTTCCACGAAGAATAATTTTCTCGCCCACGCAACTTTTCAATTGATGCTAAAATTGACGATGCCATCGATGTTTCTGGATTATATGTATCAATCGTTTGTGTTATTTTGTTGCTGGTCTTTGCAATGAGCTTTGGCGGTGTGGTTTTGTTCGATTTACTCATGTAAATGCATATACCGTCGGAATGAAATCTAACCTCACTTTCGAACGAATCAAAGTGAACAATTTATCAAAAAAAAATGCCACGACAAAAACACGGAATTTTAAATTATTTTGCTTCTCTTAAATAAATTAATTATTTATGGGTGATCTGGGCCCATAACCTGAAATTTATTGATGGAATTTTATTAATAAATAATTAATTTATTTTATACACGTCCGTCGTGTTGAACGATTTATTAGAGAAGAAAGTATTTTACTTGGCATTGCTTTGCAATGTCTTTGCCAAAGTGACACTAATGACATTTCATACAATGTTTAATTTGCATCTCACAAGATGATGTTCTTAGTTAATGTGTTCACCAAGCTAACTCATTGAATATAAATAATCATATTTCAACAATGTTTTAGTATTGCCCGATGCAAACCATTGTCATATTCGTTAAGTTTAACATTTTGTAGCATAAACGTTCTCAGAACGTTTTGTCATTCGATCGTTATTTGTATTGTTTACCGTAACATGTAAATTGCGTCTCAGCCAAAAAATGAATTTTACTCGTGAAAATTTTCGAGCGATTATTTTTTTCCACTTTCGATTGGGTGTATCACAACAACAGTGTTTTGATCAACTTCATTTGGCCTTTGGCGATGAAGTACCAAGTCTTCGGACAATTTATAATTGGTACAACGAATTCAAGCGCGGTCGCCTATCGCTCATCGACGAGTTCCGCGAAGGTCGTCCAAAATCAGTTGTTGTACCAGAAAACATCGATGCTGTCAGAAATATGATAATGGAAGATCGTCATGTAACATATCACGAGATTGAGGCATCCCTGGGCATAAGTGCGACCAGCGTATTTAAGATTTTACATGAACATTTAGCTTTCAGAAAGATTTGCTCTCGTTGGATACCACATAATTTGACAATCGCTCAAAAAAAGGCTCGTGTCGATTGGTGTAAACAAATGCTCAAGAAATTCAATCGTGGTGTTTCAAAATCCGTGTATTTTATCGTCACTGGTGGCGAATCATGGATCTACGCGTATGAGCCCGAAACTAAACAGCAGTCGACTGTATGGGTCTTTCAAAGTGAAGATAACCCAACAAAAGTTGTTCGAGCTCGAAGTGTTGCGAAGCAAATGGTCGCCTGTTTTTTCGCGATAAGTGGTCATGTGGCAACAGTTCCACTAGAGTCTCGTAAGACCGTCAATTCTGATTGGTACACCACCATTTGTTTGCCCGAAGTGTTTGGTGAAATAAGAAAAAACAACCGCCGTCGCAAAATAATTCTTCATCATGATAATGCGAGCTCTCACACATCTCATCAAACAGTCGATTATTTGACCGGTCAAAAGATCGATTTAATGGGTCATCCGCCGTACAGTCCTGATTTGGCACCCAACGATTTCTTTTTATTCCCGAGCGTGAAGAATAAACTGCGTGGTGAACGATTTTCATCGCCCGAAGAAGCAGTTGATGCGTTCAAAACACACGTTTTGGAGATATCACTTTCGGAGTGGCATGAATGCTATGACAAATGGTTCGAGCGAATGCAAAAGTGTATTGATCATCATGGCGAATATTTTGAAAAACAATAAAACCATTTTCGATGAAACCCCATTGTCTTATATATGTTTTTGAAAAAACTTAAATAGTGACCCTCGTACAAGTATAGTTGGTGATTTGCGCTTTTGCATGATGGTTGTTTGCCATAAAGTTGCTGCAAGTCCTCACGCATTTGCCTCAATTCAGTGTTTTGTATGATTTCAGTAGGCACTGCTATTTCTAGCGAGATAGTTATGCTGTGCCCAGTGTTTGATTAAGATATCTTATCTCGTTTGAGATAGTGAGATAAGATAAGATAGATACTATCTTTTATCTTATCTAGATGATTTTAGAAACTTAAAAAATCATCTTATCTTTATCTTATCTTTGGGCTTTTTTTGGTATCTTATCTTTATTTTTTAAGATAAATACAATGTGTCGGTTTTGCCTAGCGTTATGCTCGCCTGTCGATCGCTAGGCGGATATT